ATATAATTTGGAAGAGACTATCTGTGTCAGTCAAGCAGGAAGGGTGTTTGTCCCATTTAAGTATAGCAGATCAGCATAGTAAACTATCTCAGGGCATTGGTTGGGGGTGACGGTCTATTCCAAGTGTAAGTAGTGTATATATCCACGTGGGTCCAGTTCTTACTCTCACTGTCTTGTGTTTGCCTGGGTGCTTACTTTGGGCAAAATATATAATTCGAGGAAAGTGCACTCACAGGACTCTGTAGATAAGTTTTCAAACTTTTTTATGCAAATAAATTCACCAAAATCGCGTTGACATTTTAGTCCAATGTAGGACTTTTTTTCAAGACTAATGTAGGCACAAAAAACATGATTTAAATACCGGGTGTGCACGTGAAAAAAACAAACAAATTCTGTGACGTATTTTATGACGTGAAAAATTGCTAATCACACTGCATAAACGTAAAGTGATAGGAAAACTCCTCTATAGTGAATTATTTAGGTCTTAAAAGTAAGGGTATTGAAAATATGACTTATGTATTGGGACATTTAAAAGGCATGAAAAGTTGTATATATCGGGTTTCGATTGTAGGGAATATGACCTTAACCGCTATTTTCAAAGCTAAGTTAAACAGAGACCGTGTCTACCCAAGTGAGCTAATACATGTGATTGAATACAAATATATACAATGTGTTTCCAAAAAATAATAAGCAAGTACAGATAGTAACAAAATCAAAAGCAACATAATATCTTTTTTTATGTACTACACATAATACGTATATGATTGTTTAACCCCTTAAGGACCAAACTTCTGGAATAAAAGGGAATAATGACGTCATACATGTCATGTGTCCTTAAGGGGTTAAAGGTACACTCTAGGTAGGTACAGTAAAGCACTTTAGCTTGCTGAAAAGTTTTATGCGTGAAAAGTGTGTCCTCTTTTTTCATTTTGCCCAGTTCAGCTTTTAATAGAATTTACACTTTTATAAATCAACCTGGTTACACCCCTTGGCTTTCAAGCAGACAACCAGTTCTGTTACTTCCTGGTTTGGTTAGCTCAGTGGAGCTAAACTCAAGAGGCAGCAAATGCTCAGAGCACCTGCCTTGCAAAGAATTCTCAGTGAGTTGCATTGGGAAGTCTGTAATTGGACAGCCACAGAAAGTCTGGGTGGGGTTAAAAGGAGAGGGATTGCAAAAGCAACAGACAAGATATTGGAGGTTTTGCAAGCTGTTTTTATATATACCTTAAATGAAAAATGTGCATAATTAAATGCATGTAAGTTTCCATTTGGGGTAGATCTATTAAACAGTGATTTTTTAAAAAATCTTTCTTTTATTTAAGGCATGTATGATGGGGTACAGAAGGAAAGCGAGGTAAACATACGAAGGGTGTACATCAAGGGAATAATACAGCAATAGTGTTAGAGCAGTACATTTCCAGTATAGTGATGCCTCGTTTTGTAGTGTTTATAGTTTAACTAAAGTAGTAGTAGATAGAGGTTATTAGGTTAACTTGTGATGCATGTTTAACTGTAATGTGGGTTTGTCAGGGTTTTGTGTATGCTATTCTCGTGACCGCACAGTTAGTGTAGGATTAGTATATTAGTTATTTAGTCAGCCCCGCTTGTCTAGACTATATATTAACTGTGTAAACAGTGATTTTTATGTATTTTGTATTTGGGCAGTGGAGTGTCCTTTGGGAAGCCCTCTAGTGCAAATAGTCTGTGGAAAATCTTCATTTAAAAACCATACGTTATAAAATACTTTGTTGCTTTTTCTGTGCTTATTTTTATGTCAGCTCTTTGTTTTTTGTTTGTTACCAGAATCGTCTCAGCTTTAGCTGGCCAAATTTGAGTTTCTTCCAAAATTGTGTATAGGGTTTATTCACATTTAATCCAGGAATGGTAAAGAACTGAAAACGTTTAAGGCAGCGTAGCCAAGTTGGAAACATTTGCCTACTATTTGTGAGCTCAACTATTCTGTCCTAAGATTTGCAAATCTGTTGTAATTTTTCTACAATTCTGTGAATTTAGTCAACGGACATACCAATATTTAATCATTAACGCTAATCATCCACTAACCAGTCATTTTTAATATAATTCGAATTTCCATTGCTTGGAACTGATATTTCTCTTCATGGATGCTTTTACCTATTAGCCTAAGAAGGAATTTTTCCCCAGTGATTTCTAGGTGTGAACCTCTGTGATGGTTAACACTAAGGAACGTAGTAAATATAATGCATATGTTGATAGCTGGTATATGAAAAGCAATTAAAATCAGCTGGCGGTAGGGAGGAAAGTCGATGTATATTTTATAATCAATCTGTTCTGTTCCTGGCAGATCTCTGCAACAATAAATTGATTACCTAGGTCGATACATTAGTGAGGTGACAGCCCTAGATTGGGGTATGCCAGAGAGAATTTTGTCCGCCACACATGTCAGATCTGCCATGTTTCCGTGGCCATAATACTTCTGCATGTTTGTTAGACAGTACACAAAAAACTGATGCCCAAGGTAAATTAATTTCAACAGGATCCCAAAGGAACTATTAGCCATGAATTGATTGCATTAACTAATTTCCCATGTGAGAGCATGTCAGGTATTAAAAGAAGGTATGATGGATCTAACAGTCCTGGTCAGCTGGTGCCATGTGTAGAGTAGATCATAAAGTTCAAGCAGACACAAGTCAAGAATCTTTCAAATATATTGATCACTAGTTGGTGGAAGAAAAACAACATTCTATAAATACTGCTTTAGTGAATGGTACAACATTATGCAGCATAAGATAAGTAAGGGATAACGGTGTGATGCACCCCTGTGTCAGGGAAGGACGGGTTCATCCATTATGAGATACAATGCTGCTTTATACAGGCAGGCAGGGAGGGAGAATGTTGCAATGCATTGCTGTGTCAGGGAGGGAAGGGTTAATTATGAGATACTCTGCAGAATCAGGCCGTGCAGATGGAAAAGAGTGATGATATGCTGTACCAGGCTCAAAATGTAAGTGACGTGTTGCTGGCTGTATCTGATACCTGCTCGCAGCCTTTCATTATCATCTCAAGCTGGACGGCTAATGTGTAAATTCACACCCTTGTTAGCCGAGCCACAAATGGCTGAATTTTAGGTGCCACAAGAGACGTTTTTTGTCAAAACAATAACAGGGTTATTTACTAAAGTGAGAATTCAAAGTGAGTTTAACCCCTTAAGGACACATGACATGTGCGACATGTCACGATTCCCTTTTATTCCAGAAGTTTGGTCCTTATGTGGTTAAATTGAATTTCAAAGTATAGTGATGCATTGTTGACTTGGAGAATGTTTCCACTTTAGCGATTGTGCCCTTATATATGAAATTCAGTTTGAATTCCAACTTGAGTAAATCTAAAAAAAACCCGCAAAAAACGGTTTGACGTAAACCGTATAAAAGGAGCCCAAAGCAGCTTTTCCCGCAACCACAACAATGAACATGTATGACGATGAAATTGCCACTTTCATGTTAAAATTCTTTATTTAAGACTGCAAATATACAGGCAAAAATGGTTGCAATTGGAAGACAAGCCTGAAAGTTTTTACAAAGAATAACAGCTATAAGTCCAAACAAGATAAAAGGGGAAAAAAAGGAAAAAATATATGAAGAAAGGGGAAAATAAGAAAATTGCAGTATTTTATATTAATATACCACAATAGTCTTGATTGCCCTTTTGATATGATGTTCTGCTTTGTTGGACAGAAAAGTTGTGGAAGGGAAGAACTATTTGTGTATTACACCAGTGCTTGTGTGTAATAGGGAATGAGGGGTTAATGGCCCAATGCTCTGCTGTAGTAGATAGTGTAGGTTTTAAAGGGTTTTCCTGCAGGGAAGTGTGAAAGCTGCAATGCTCTGTTCTAAAAAGCATTAAAGGTTAAAGGGATTCTCTAGTGCCTGGAAAACAAACCCATTTTCTTGGCACTATAGGGTTATTAGGTCCCCCCTCCCTCAGGGCCCCCCTCCCACAGGGTTGAAGGGGTTAAAGCCCCTTCAGCCACTTACCTGAATCCAGCGCCGATGTCCCTCGGAGCTGTGTCAGGCTCTGCCCACGCTCCTCCCCCGCCGACGTCAGCTGGCGGGGGAGACCTAATGCGCATGCGCGGCAATGGGTGCGCGCGCATTAGACCTCCCCATAGGCAAGCATTATTCAATGCTTTCCTATGGGGAAAATCTGACGCTGGAGGTCAGTGTGGATGTCCAGCGTCAGATAATGGACCAAAAGTCTGTTTGGATTCGGGAAGCCGTCTAGTGGCTGTCTGGTAGACAGCCACAGAGGGCAGACGTAGAGCTGCAATGTAAACATTCCTGTTTCTCCTGTTTTACATTGCAGCACTAAGTGCAAAAGGGTCACAGCACCCAGATCACTTCAATTGGCTGAAGTGATCTGGGTGCCTGGAGTGTCTCTTTAAATAGTGCAATATGCTACTATATGAGACATTAAAAGTGTTAATGGTGTGATGTTCTGCCATATCAGGCAGGAAAGGGTTAATGATAGAATTCGTAGACATGTAAAGGTTGCAATACTATGTTGCATCAGGTAGGAAAAGCATAGAGCAATACTATATTACATCATGCATGGAAGAATTCATGGTACAATAACATTGGTAATGATATTCTGCCCTATGAGGCATGTAAGACTTTATGGAACACCTCAGACCCCTACAGCACTCAGAGCCCCTGCCTGGCAAAGACTTCTCATTGAGTTTCATTAGGGAGTCTGTGATTGGACACCAACAGAAAGTCTGGGCGGGGTTAGAATGGGATGGCTTACAAAGGCTGCAGACAAGAGAACTGTAGCCCACAAGGTGCTTTTAGATACATCAACAAAAAATACATAAAATGCATGCTTGTTTTCATTGGGGATATATCTAACAGACAGTGGATTTCTTATTTATTTATATATATTTATATATTTAATTTTGGCAGTAGAGTGTCCCTTTAATGGCAAGATGTTGTGCCTTATCAGAGAAAAGGGTTAATGATCCATGTCTATCAATGCGTCTCTTGAAGCCGTCTTGGTATAAATCTGTGGATCGCAAAAGAAAAGAGTGTGAATGTGAGTGTGAATGCCCTCACTAATCAAGTTAACAACTGAACTGGGATACTTACCCCTTGCTGTCACACTCACACCTTCTCTGCTCATGTAATGTCTGGAGAAGCCATGCCCTGTACCGCGCTCGGCGCTAGAATAATAAACAGAGGCTTATTGTTACAACATGATATGTAATGTCAACTGCATCTATACATTTAATATGATCATTAACATTGCAAGTGATCAACAGGTATACATGTAGTATGATCAATAACAATACACAAGACAGCACGGACTACTGCAATGCTCTTCTCAGTGGTCTTACATGTACCCAGATTGCATCATTGCAATCTATAATGAATGCGGCGGCGAGGCTCATTTTCCTGTCCGCTCGCACCTCCCACGCCTCCCCACTCTGTCAGTCCCTGCATTGGCTTCAGGTTAGATATAGGGCTCAATTTAAAATTCTGGTGCTTGCTTACAAGTCCCTACATAATGCTGCTCCAACCTACCTATCCTCCCTAATACATCCCGTCAAGGCCCCTACGGTCTGCCAAAGACCTACGTATATCCTCTGTCCGTACTCCCACCTCTAATGCTCGCCTCCAAGACTTTTCCAGGGCTGCACCTCTTCTGTGGAACTCCCTTCCCTTCTCCATAAGAATTTCACCCAGTCTCCACTAATTCAAATAAATCATTGAAAACTCACTTCTTCTAGAAAGCATATCAGTTAAACTGTTACCAGGTTTTTATCCCCCACCCTCCATGACTCCTCTCCTGCAACTGTCAAAAATGACCTACTAAGCCCTCAGTGAATACTTTTCTAACAACCTACTTGTACCCCTACTTTTACCCTTTGTGTCACTATAACCCACTCCCTCTAGAATGTAAGCTCATTGAGCAGGGCCCTCCACTTCTCTGTTCCTGTACGTCCAGTTGTCTGGTTACAATTACATGTCTGTTAGTCAACCCATTGGACAGCACTACGGAATCTGATGACGCTATATAAATAATAATAATAATAAGACAGGATCAGCAGTTATCACATAATGTGACCAAAAACAATGCATGTGGCATGGTCAGTAGTTTTATATATATAAATACAAAGAATGCTTTACTACAACAACTGTAATAGCAAGGACTGAAGATACACCGTATAATACAATTAATTATTATAAGTACAACAAATCAAAAGATTAAAGATGTAGTTTGTAAAATGAACACTAGATGGTAGCAAATGTTTTATCTTGTCACGCCTTGATTTATTTACTCTGTTTATCCTCCATTTACCATGTCACTCCATGATCTTCCCCTTTTAGCACTGATTTACAATGTATTCTCTAGAGTCGCCACATCGTCACCATATTCACAGCTGCTGTTCACCGTTTACTGCATCTTTCTGTGATTTTGTTTTTGTCTTGCCACACTCTGTCTCCCTCTACCCAGGCTAAAGCAACTCTTCCTGATTTATCACGGACCACTCCGACTTACAGTGTGTCTCTCTTATCAATATAACCGCAATATTAGATCAGCAAGGAGTGCAGCGTATATTTTATCACTCAAAACTTACCCTCCTGCGACAACGAGCAACTGCAAGCGTGGCAATCAGCACAGCAACCAGAAGCAGGACAGTCGCCCCTCCGGCCACCGACCAAAGCATGATTTCCTGAAGAGGTAGTGCTGCTTCTACAGAGGGAGAGAGTTGTATTTCAGACTTTTTTAGAAAACCAATAAGAGGTCACAGAGCTACAACCTGGACCTGATGGTTTTTGTTTGTTTGCATTGCCACATAGTTAAGGAAAGATTTGGTTTAATAACTAGAGCAGTGATGTAAAAAGTGAAAAAAATAAAGTTTTTCCACTTACCTAATGCCAGCGCCAATGTCCCTCGGTGCCAGGTCGGGCTCATTCTCTGCCGACGTCGGCCGATGGGGGGGGGGGAGACCTAATGCACATGTTCGGCAAGAGCCTCACAAGCAACATGCTTTCGCCATAGGAAAGCGTTGACTCAATTCTTTCCCCCAGCCTCATTTCACAGAGTCAAACTCCGTAAAAAGCAGGAAGCGCCTCTAGCGGCAGTCTCTGCAGTTTCTCTAAAACTAGATAAAGTACGTTAGATGAAGTGGTCTGGGTGCCTACAGTGTCCCTTTAACCAGGAGTAAATGGCCTTATTTTCGAGTACCCATATCCAAGGAGGAAAACAAATTCTTGACTAAGAGAGAAATTTCGGAATAGCTGAATTAATTTGTGGCTGAACTTCTCCTCCGAGAATTGGCAGGTGGCTCAGCTGTTCACAGTGGAGAAGAAAAATCAAGAGCATTACGAACTCTAGTGGCACTGGAAAAAATGAATAAACGAGTGTAGCAATAGCTATAGTTAGCTAGTGCAAAAGATCATGGTCATCGGAACAGACCACAACAAAATGGCTGTGATTACTGATGTTAGACAAATACAAACAAAACGGAAAATAGAATTAAACTAAATAAATATATTACAAATAAGTGTCTTACTGCGTAGGAAAAAATGGCCACAACAGAGAAAATAATAACAGAAATATGGAAAGCTATAAAAGGGAGAAAACAAAGGATTACAGGAAGTAATGAAAAAACTAAACTATAGAAAAACATAATAAAGTGAAAAACTGGAAGATTTCAGACAGGAAGAGTACAGAAACAGGTGGATAGAGAAAGAGGTAAAAGGAAAGAAAAACCATATGATTGAAATAACTATAATTAAAGTTGAAAGCACACTAACAGAAATAAGACAGATAAACAAAAAAGAAGCAGAAAACACTGAATTAATAATATATAAAGCAACACAATATAACATAATATCTCTTGAGCCAGAGCAGCAAAGAAAGTAAACTTGTATGAGGCATGTTAACCCTTTATATACTAGGATTGCTCATGATTGGTGGACGGAGGGTTTTGTTACGAGCAAGTTATTGTTTTGTATGTTTTGTTTTTTCATGTTTGATTGCATTTCTAAGTGTGTTTTAACTGTAGCTATTTGTAGTAATAAAGAATGCTAAAACCCAATAGAATTTTATTATTATAAAATTGTTATCATCTCCCTGTTTATATCATATTTTTCCTTCTCACCAATAATCAGGACTTGTCTGGCCATAATTTGTTTCTCAACAAGCAGACTGCAACTCCAGTTGCCCACATATTCTGGCAAAACGTCCAGTTCCAATTCCGTGGTTGTATCCCCATGTTGTCCACATGTGTTATCGTTTTCATGGTCTTTGTGCCAGCAGAGCACTCCATTAGCTGGCATGCAGCTCACCGTACATGACAGAGTGATTGGGGAATTAAGAGGAATCTTCCCATTTGGAGAGGGTGTAGCTGAGAGAGAAAAAAGCAATGTATATCAGAATATAACCCAAAAAGAGAACTCTAATATAAACCCAAACATACATAACCTAATTCAAATATAACAGGACAGCAGGTAAATATCTGTAACCTTTCCTCAAAATTGCCCAGAATACACTTTATAAATGAGACTCAGTGAAATGCTATAGATTTCAATCAGTGCAGTTAAAATCTTTAGTGAGATGTTAGTGAGTAAGCAGAGTTAAAATTAAAGGGACACTCCAGGCACTCAGAACACTTCGCCTAATTGAAGTGGTCTGGGTGCTGTGAACCTTTTGCACTTAGTGCTGCAATGTAAAACAGGGCTTCCGGAATCCAAACCGACCATTGGTCGGTTATCTGACGCTGGACGTCCTCACAGTCCTCCAGCATCAGATTTTAATAATGCTTTCCTATGGGGAGGTCTAATGCGTGCGTTGCCATTGCCGCGTATACGCATTAAGTCTCCCCGCCGGCTGACGTCGTCGTGGGAGGAGCATGGGCGGAGCCTGACCCTGCGCCAAGGGACATCGGCGCTGGATTCAGGTAAGTAGCTGAAGTGGTTTTAACTCCTTCAGCGACATGGGATGGGTACACTCCAGGATTCTCTAGTGCCAGGAAAACGGGTTAGCTAGTTATAATTGAAAAAGCTCTGTTGGCAAAACGCGTCTTAGGAGAAGGTAAAGCTTTACCTTTTGAAGTTCTAAGTATTTTATTTGTTTTAATTTGTTTTTAATGCAAATAAATTATTTTAATACTTACCTTTCCTCAACTGTTTTCCTGCATCCTGGCTCCACAGGGTTGTATCACCCATAAGAGAAAGCATTTCTCTGAAGAAGCTGAAGCATGCTTGAGTGCGTCCATAACATCATGGACCCATAATGTCACCCTGTACATGGGAATGCTATGGAGATAATGATGATTTATATGTACCTCTACTGCACAAACCACACCGATAAACACTTCAATAGTATTTACTAGGGTAAGGGAATGAGAAACTGCAGAAGTGCAAGTATAGAGATCAAGTCTCACCTGCCGCACTACAATGTAAAGGGTACAAATACATTGATGACGTATAGTATATCTATATATTTTACTTTTCTGCCAGCAGAGGGCTCCTCTCTACTGACGTCTTTGGTCTGCACATGGCCATGTCTCACAACTGTCAGGAACTCAGCAATATAAGGTATATATCTCCAGCCAACACATTAACAGGTTTGGGTAGCTTGGTTTTTAAGGAAGTGATGGAGAGAAATGCACACAAATTGCAAATAAATGTAATTCTCATTTCAATCAGACTCCCATTTTGAGTTAAAGGACACTATAGTCACCAGAACAACTACAGCTTATTCTATTTGTTCTGGTGAGTATAGTCCGTCCCTGCAGGCCTTTTGCGGTAAGCACGGTCTTTTCAGAGAAAAGTCAGTGTTTACATTACAGCCTAGGGATATCTCCACGGGACTCTCCTCTGATGCTATTAGTGGAAGTTCTGCACAGTGTGCATGGAGACACGGAACTTTCATCAGAGAGATGCACTGATTGATTGCATCTCTATAAGGAGATGCTGAATGGCCTGAGCTGTGTTGGGTTCCACCCTGAGATCATCGTAATTGGCTGAGATCATCGGAATTGGCAATTCAATGGGAAAGCATTGTGATTGGCTAAGATCATCACTTCTGATGATGTCAGCCGAGGAAGTAGATTAGGGGAGAGGCAGCACCAGCGGACTGGAATAAAGGTAAGATTTTACTATATTTAGGGGGGCTAGATAGTGATTTTAAAACTATAGGGTCAGAAATATGTTAGTGTTCCTTTAAACAATGTTATTTATAAATATTTATAAAGGAAAACCCTTTTCTTTCTCTGGGAATTACATATTTGAAAATCACCCATAACTTGTGTGTTTTTATATTTTTCCATACAATGCTCCTATTTTTTTTTAAATGTATATTGATGATTTAGCCATTGACATCACAACGCAGTTCAAGCTTGTGATAGCCATGGCACACAATACATAGCAGTTAAAGAAACAAACACAAGGGCTATGTATAAAAAGTAATTCTGAAGTTCTAATAGTGGAGCAATCAGCAAGAACATTCCATCAGTAGCCATGGCGAATGGTCCACTTTTAGAATTCGGCCTCAGAATTATTCTTCATATATATCCCACATTGTTTCTATTTCCCCTCCTCCATCTATATCTCTATAGTAAGTGACATTGCAAAGGGCAAAGTTTAAAACAATTATTGACAGGGAGCCATGATGAGAGCACTCAGTTTAATGATAGAGGTAATTATAGTTTTTAATTATATTTATACATTTAATTGTCTTTTTCACAAACAAACAAACAGATATATTTAACAATTTTTCAAATACATGGATATATAAACATAATATTAAAGTAACACTATAGGGTCAGGAACACAAACATGTGTTCCTGACCCTATAGTGCTTAAAACACAATTTAGCCCCCTGCCCCCCTTAAATAGTGTGAAAACACACCTTATTTCCAGCACCGGTGTTTGTCTCTGCCCCCGATCCACCTCCTTGGCTGACATATTCAGAAGTGATAATCTCAGCCAATCACAATGGTTTCTCATAGGAAATCCCATTGGATTGGCTGAGATTTCCAAAGAGGCAGGCCGACAGCAAGGCCAAATGCCTTGTTGGCCAATCAGCATCTTCTCATAGAGATGCATTAAAACCAATGCATCTCTATGGGGAAAATTCAGTGTCTTCATGCAGAACATGGAGACACTAAACGTCAGTGCTTCACACTGTGCAGCTCTGCCTACAAAGCACCTCTAATGGCCATCCGAGGAGTGGCTACTGGAGGTGACACTAGGCAGCAAAAAGCCTACAGGGACTGACTATACTCACCAGAACAACTACATTAAGTTGTTCTGGTGACTACAGTGTCTCTTTAAAAAATGCTGAGAAGTGATGGTTTCTCTTTAACCCTGTCAATAATTGTGAATCAGATAATAACACACATAGTAACATTTCTCTCACTTGTGATAGCTGCCACACAGATAGTCTGTGATAATTCTGATCTTCTGTTCTTCAGTTCCAAGGTGATTTCCATGTGGTACCAGCCTCCCTTAGGTTTGTGCAGATAATAGCTCAGGTCTGACTTTAGCCCTGAGGTGATTTTCACATGGCAAGAGTGGTGCCAGCATGTGGCAGAAGTAAGGTTGAGGTTAGATATTATGGTTCCATCCTTCCCTTTCTCCTCAGAGTGGATGACAGCACCTTTGATTACCTTGACTCCGTCACCCAGAGGTTGGTCCCGCACATTAAAATTGAATTTCCATGGGAGAGTTACTGGGGAACCTGATGTGTACACAGTGTCTGGGGCAGGTAGAAAACCTAAAGAAATAAACAAGGAGGAAGAACCTTAGAAATAGTGAGATGGAAGTAGTAGAAATGCCTCTGACATACGAGCTAGCATTCTTCAAACACAGTACACCCCTTCCTATGATGAATATTCATGATAATGCAATATTTCCCCATCTCAAGCTTACTTGAACTGCTTTGCTTACTCTCCTCAAATGGATATGACTTTCTCTGTATTGCGAACCTTGCTGGCCGTATACCGTTACCAATATATACCTTGTTCAACGCATGTCTTGCAATAAAAAAAAAAAAAGGACACGCATAGATCATACCCCATTAATATTTAATTTACTAAAAATGCACGACATAGTTAATAACGCGTGTGCAATCAGCTAAATCATGTGCACAAGATAACTATATCGTGGGCATGATGTAATCAACTTTTACCATTGGTCCTCCTACCTTTGGAGTGGTAGTAAGGAGATGGGTATCTGAAGAGGTACTATAACTTTATTGTGCACATGAGTTATTAACTATGTTGTGCTCTCAAATGATTTAATTAGTTAACTATCACATGCTGTACTATCTTGTAGGTAACTTCTTCGTTAGCAATATACCCAATGAGGAGCCAGGCCACAGACACCAGATGAATGCTGGCACCATGACCCCTACTGCATGCTATAATGGTTATAGTTTTTAAAGCTCCCCTTTAAGGCCTATCTCCTGCCAACCCATAATGTACCCATTCACCTGTTTATCTCCTTTGATATTCATGGAAAGTAAGGAATGGAAATTGGCAAAGGCCTGTCCTCAGAGTTAAGGAGGAAGCCAAATGATTGCTATTATGTATCGCTTAATTTTATAGATCAGTCAGTCCCAAATGAGATACCTAGGGATTTGGATAACAGCGGATCCAAGCTCCCTCTACCAAACAAACCTTGTCCCTCTCCTAACTCGCATCCAGCAGGATCTACGGACCTGGAATTACCCACACATCACCTGGCCAGGCCGCATAGCGGTGATCAAAATGAATATATTACCCAGAATATTATACCTATTCCACACGATCCCCCGTCGATACCGACGGCATTCTTCGCATCTCTGAAAACCACATTCCTGACCTACATATGGAAAGGACACAAACCACGACTGCGATATGAACTCCTCTGCCAGATCCCGGATCTGCGGAACTACCATCGCGCAACAGCCCTGCAACGGATCCTAGAATGGCACACGAACCCACAACACAAGCAATGGGTGACCCTGGATAGAGACTCGTCCACCGGCCCAACCATCTTCACTACTGTATGGAACACGAAAATGACAGCACAGGACGAACTCAACAAACTCTCCCCGGCGAGTCAAACCCTTCAGACATGGGCGTCACTGCGGAAAACAACGAATGTCTCCCCCACACCTAGCTCAATGACCACACTAACGGACAACCAACTACTAGGAGGAGGACTTCCGGCAAGGGCCTGGAGCTTCCTGGAGGAAGGGGACTTCATCTCAATCCACAAAACATTGACCGCCACCGGACTGGCGCCGCTGGACCAACTGGTTGAGGGCACACCGACTCCCATGCAAAGATACCAATACACACAACTACAACATTTCTATCACACACTACCAGATAGAGCCGTAATACACAGAACCCTCACGTGGTTTGAAGAAACCTGCGACCAAAAAACAACCATCCAGAAACCGACATCAACCCTCTACCAGTACCTGATCACGAACAACCAAAAGAAAGCTCTGCCATATAAGAGACAATGGGAACACCTCACAGACAGGACATTCACAGATGCGCAATGGGACCAAATTCTAATTCTCCATCACAAATCCTCAATTAGCACATCATACCAAGAAATGAATTACAAATTACTAACGTTCTGGTACAGAACCCTGGACCTCCTACACAGAATATTTCCCAACACCCCAGCGATGTGCTGGAGATGAGAGACGGACGTGGGCACAGTAAAACACATCTGGTGGGAATGCACCAAAATCAAACCATTCTGGAACCAGATTATAGCCCGCATCAGGGATATCCTAGTGGATGCGACACAACTGACCATGGAAAATATACTCCTCCACTACACAAGAGACTCGATCTCGAAATACAAAAGATCCATCCTACGCCACCTCCTTGACGCAGCCAAGGCACTCATCCCCACTCTCTGGAAACAAACTCAGGTCCCCTCAATGGAACAATGGCTAACCAGAGTGGAAGATATCAGAGCCGCAGAAGGAATGCACAGGACCCTGACAGACACTCTCTCAAAACACGTAGATAAATGGCAACCATGGATAATCTACATGGCAAGACAGGGCGTTGGGGTCGTGGCCGTGGGGGATGGAGACTGAGGGGAAGGACTCACCCTCCCCGCACCACACCTAGTGCATCCACTCCTTCCCCACCCCACCCAACATTCTACACAACACCACACACCAACTCCTACAAACGCCAACATCACACAGCACCCAAACGACACAGAATCAACTTATCTTAACACACACCCTCCCCAACACACAAGCACACACCCGTACAGACATATGAATATCACCACACAAGCATGATCAGCCTGACACGCCTAATAATGCACCCCACACAACACTTGAACGATCAACCCCCGGGAAATAACCACACACTCAATAGGACTGCACCAAGCCCACAAACTAGACACCCAGCATAACAGATATAACCTAACCAAACTCGGAGACCGAACTAACACACATACCTCAAACAACAACAAAATCTTCAACACGACTGGACATATAAGAGGCCAACGCAGTAGGTGAAGCAAAAGACCACAACCCATAGAAAAAGACAACAGAGAAAGATAACACACCCGAGCAACTGACACGAACATACAACATAAAGAGAACACTACTCAAACACGCCTACCACCGCTCATCACCTCAAAATGCCCCAACACGAGGGGATACAAATAACCCAAGCACGACAAACCAAACCTGGGAGGACCCACAGATTCTAACAACACACCTTCAGGACACCAACCACACCAACCCAAACAGAGACGCGAACGCCCCACCACCTGAAGCCCCATACGCCCATAGGCACGAGGCATACGCCAACAAACATACCCCTCCCCCTCACTATAACCACCCACACCCCTAGACACATCTATCACATCAACAGCTGAGGCAAAAGAAAAACAATAGACCAAAGACATGATTACCCTCTACACACCTTTGAAACCACCATTTATTACACAGGAAGACTTATACCCCCGCACACTCATGGCAGACTATGAACTCTACTACCTGAAATGATTAATGAATCAATATCAATATTTTACCGACATACGTAACAAACCAGATATAAAAACCAAGCCTACTCTAGAACACACACCATAATAACAACATAGAAAACCACACGAACAGAAACCAACCACATCCACGTATACCACTAGAGACACCATACCCCCTAACTGGGCCGACCCACACACCCAGAAATCGAAACCTGACCATCATCAGAGGATAGCAAAACGAAACTCAGAAAAGGCAGGTTTAACTCAAAGGGACCAGCGAGTCCAACGCATGCTTTATATAACGACTAAACGTTTCCACAGTTTTTGGAGGCCTGCGAGCCTCGCTGTTTTAAAAGTTCAATTGTTACACACTAATACTGTCATGCACAAAACCAGCAAAAATCAAGGAAAACCGTATCTACATAAAAAATTTGTTGGACAACTGCACATGCAGATACAAATCATAGTCACATAGTTCAATGAGGGCACTCCATCCAATATAAAACCACTACACACGCACAGGCGGACACACCATATCATTAATAAGGGTCCACGAAATATGTCATGCCTAACTCAAGCGGACCTGCGAGTCCAACGCATGCTACCTATATGTCCCACTAATTCCTAACATTCTTGGAGGCCTGCGCGCCTCACTGTCTGGATTGCTCAATTGTACTGTGAAACTGCTATTCTGAAAACAATAAAAATCACATTTACATAATTTTATAGATCGTATTAAGAATAGGTAGGGTAGGTGTCCTGTAGAGTCTATCATTTACCAAAAACTTCAATGGTCTTGGTGAAATCCACATTCCTGTCATCTTTGCTTCCAGTCATCTTCACGGTGCATGTGTATTTTCCTCCGTAGTCTGGCTGCACATTGCTCAGGATCAGTGGGTTCTTTGTTAAATCCTTCACAGGTATATTTGAAGGCACCTTCCAAAGTAGTGTAAATTCAGATTTAGAGGAACGAATGTTGATTGAGAGGGTTTCTTTCATTATCAGGTCAGCAGATGGAGTGGCAGAGACTATAAAAAAGACAAATGAAAGGAAGGATACTGTTTGTACTGTTATTGAAAGTCCCCACACCTACAGGGTTATTTGCTATCAGGCTTATTCACTGGAGTGAGAATTTAACGGGAATTTTAGATTGAAGGCCAAAGTAGTTGAACTGCAAGCATAAGTAACATTTTCTAGTATGGCTGTATTGGTCATAAATGTGAAATTCACTTTGAATTCTCACTCTAGTGTATAACCGTGTAAAATGAGAATTGGTAGGAATTCAAAGTGGGTTTAAATTTCAATACCAAAATAGCAGAACTTAAAGGGTTACCACAAACACATGGCCACTTCAGTGATTTAACCCCTTAAGGACCAAACTTCTGGAATAATAATAAGGGAATCATGACATGTCACATATGTCATGTGTCCTTAAGGGGTTAAAGTGGTTATAGTGCCTGGAGTCTGTATGATAACATTTCACTTTGAACTCCAACTCCACCTCTGACCGCTTCACCGGAGCATCTTTAGCCAGCTTGAGACAAGAATTCTAGGTTGGCTAATGTCAATGCAGCATTTCAGAATGGTTGTAAACAATAGGCACCAAGATACTTCCGGGTGGCATAACGCGAGCGGCTTTCACTGACCGTCGTCAAAAGTAGTGCTACTTGGATTGGAATCACTTATTGGAGGTGATTTGTGCAATATGAAGATAGCACAGTCACTTGCTAAACCTTGGTAGAAATTTATTGGTTATAACTTTGTGTGATTTTAAAAGGCGTTTATGAGGTGTTTGAGTAGTGAAACAAAACCATTCTGAATATATTAAAACAAACAAAACAAAACAAAAGATTTTAAGAAGCATCTTTTACATTGTCTATTTTTATTGTGATCACTGTACTGTGTCCAGTCATGCTATCACTGCCCCTTTAGTACCCTGCAATGCATGTGCCCTTTCATTTTGGCCCTCTGCATACCTTTTAATGTTATCAATGCTCTCTGTATTTTAAATACAGAGCGCTCTCCCAACCCCAGGACCTTTGACAGACACACGGTACGGGGGCTGATCACACTCCGCAGCTCAGCACGGGCCGCTTCCCATACAGTGCTGGCTCCGGTCACATTGCGGGCTCTGACAGCCGGCTCGGTTCTCCTGCTCTTGTTTCGTGCGGTGGGCTGGGGCTCAGGGATGCCGAGCTGCCTTCATTAGAGACGGATCATTAACTGCAGATAGAGCGGCGGTGAGAGCTGGGTACAGCTAGTTATGAGTGGTATGTAGAGTACGGTATCTCCGCGGTGATAATGGCGGTTTCCTGTCAAAGGCCTGCTTGGTGTCCGCGGTGCTAGGGGGCAGACTCTGTCACTCTGTGCGCAGCTCCCGCTCCTAGTGGCAGCGAACACAGCCTCTATAAAGCAATTTACTAGTGGTGCCATCATAGAACACTTCAACTTTTTCATGGTGAATTGTCGTATTCTGTGCATATTCTTATTCACAGAATTGCATTCATTGGCTGGTACCACTCAGATGATGCTCTCAGTCCATGAATGACCAGCGGAATCAACTTCCAACTTCTGCAGGTCTGCAGAAGCCAGATGTCATCACCAGCCATGGATGACCGTCGGTGCCTGGCGGGCACCCAGTTAAGAGGGAAAACCATTGCAGGGAAACAGGGCCAGGGTATTCTTGGCAGTATAACCACTACAGTGGTCTGTAGTGGTTATGGTTCTTGGAGTAACTACGTGAAATTCACTGTGAATTCCTAAAAGTTTTAACTAGTGAATAACCCTGCTAGTCTTTGAAGACAGGGGCCAGACACAGATCACAGGACAAAGACCATGAAAGTTTGACATCATTTAGTAAGCAAAATGCTTAATTTGTTAAAGGGACATCAATCACTTTGAGACAATGGTCTTATTATAGATTGATAATCTCAGTCGTGGAAGTGAGGGAGAAAAGAGGAGTAAAATAACCTTTTAAATGCAATATGTGGGGGGCTGGGAAGCTAAACATTTAGTTAACAATCTACTGTTAGAAATACATGTTTGTATTTTTTAACTCATGGCAGGCATCAAGCTTTTCCTGCAGGCAGCGGTGTATTTACCGCAAGGCTGACAAGGCATTTGCCTTGGGCCGCACTTTCAGGGGCCCCAAGTGGTTGGCATCTCCTGATGTAGGCGGGGGGCGAGGGAGCACTCTTTGCTCAGGTCCCTTCGCGTGATGCCGGAGCCAGAATATGACGTCACTCCGGCATCACTGAGAGGCGTGCGATGGCGCTGAACACTACCTGAGCCACTTGCGTGGATTGTAAACTCAGTCTCATGCTACCACTAGAGTGAAAGCACCGCCAGCATTCAAAAGTGACCAAAACATCAGCCAGGAAACATAGGAACTGAGAAGTGGTCTGTGGTCACCACCTGCAGAACCACTCCTTTATTGGGGGTGTCTTGCTAATTGCCTAGAATTTCCACCTGTTGTCTATCTCATTTGCACAACAGCATGTGAAATTGATTGTCACTCAGTGTTGCTTCCTAAGTGGACAGTTGATTTCACAGAAGTGTGACTGACTTGGAGTTACATTGTGTTGTTTAAGTGTTCCCTTTATTTTTTTGAGCAGTGTATATTTCTATGTCATACTACCACATGAAACTTTAAAATTCACAGTGAAGATACTCCCTCATATAGTCTGTCTTCATAGACATTCTGTCTAAGACATTTTTGTCTATTGATTTAGTACTTATTTTACTATCTCTTCCTATTCCCTTATCACACATTTAGGTTTCTGTAGGCAATTGTGGTCTAAATCTACAATTTGTTTTCGCATGTATTTTTTGTCCTTTATTTATTTACCCATTAAAAGTTATGTTTTAAGTATAATTCAAGCATAGGACAGTCTTCTTCTCTTTTTTACTCCTATTTCTCAATCAGGGTTAACCCCTTCACTGCCCTTTTTTCTACACTTAGCTTCCACTCTAAGAGGAATTAAGAGAAAAAATTGTTAGAAAAAAAGAGATCGATAAAGAGTGAGAGATTCCCCTCACTCCCAGATGACGCAACTTCCATTCTCATCCATAACTTCCTACAAGTCTCTCGTAGCTATGTAATCTACCAAAGGGAACCGCATTGCTTTAAGCTTGTCCCCACCACAGAGGCCATTAAGGCAGCAGAATAGTATATATTTTTTTTGTACATTTTCAAATTCAAATAAGGGTATACATGTGCCAATACAGTACTATTCATGGGCAGTCCCACCAATATTTGTACCTCACCTTCTGACCCCATGTTCAGTGTAATATCCCACTTTGTGATCTCCCAAGTATCACACCCCTTATATCCCAGCTTTCACCCTAAACGTCATACTAGACACCAATCCCCATGTCTAAATCGGTCAGTTTAGATTTCAAACACTTTCTTACTTTCGAGGAGAACAAGCTCGGAATTTTCAGATTTGCTGTTCGATTCACATGTATAAATCCCAGCATCGGACCAGCTGACTTTTTCAATTTCCAAAGAAGTACTGTCAGAAACCATTTTAAAACCAGCTGTAGGAATAAGATAAAAGCACATGCTCTCAGTATATTTAGAGGGTGTATCCCTTGTTATCAATAGGTGTATGTTTAGAGTTTATTTCCTGTTGCCATCATATAGCAAGTATATTCCCCTCTATCAATGGGTGTATATAGCTGGTATACTCTCTTCCATCAATAGGTATATATAGCAAGTATATTCTTTTATATCAATGGGTGTATATAGCGCGTGTACTCCCTGCTATCCATGGGTGTATATAGCAAGTATACTCTTTTAAATCAATGGGTGTATATAGCGGGTGTACTCCCTGCTATCCATGGGTGTATATAGCAAGTATATTCTCTTCTATCAATAGGAGTATATAGCAAGTATATTCCCTTCTATCAGTAGGCGTATATGTGGTAGGCAAAAAGTAATGTCAGGCAAAAAACCTATGTCTAGACAAATACTTATATGACCTTTAAAATACCATTTGCCAAGGCAAAAGCCTTTTGCCCAGCTAGTATTCAGGCATGTTTCTTTGTTTCTTTGTTCAGATTTTAAAGGCATTAGCTCAACAAACAGACACCCAGGCAGTCTGGGAATGTGGCTCCTTCTCAACAATAGCTACCCAGGAAACCTCAGAAAGTGGCCCCTGCTCAACAATAAACACCCAGACATACTCGGAATGTGGCCCCCTTTGCTTGCCGATAACCACCTAGGAACCCCTCAAGGAAAGTGTTCCCTGGTCACAAATAAGTAACTAGGAAACCCAGGAAGCCCTGTTCTAGGAAACGGGACACTGCTCACTAATCGGATGGGGATAATAGCTCCTGCTTGCCAGTAGATCCCCAGACTCTACAGGAAAATGGCCTCTGCTCACCAATACACACTCAGGTACCCCAGAATAGTGGCCCCTGTTTCCCAATAGGTCCCAACATGCTAAATCTTTAAGTTATGAAGTGCTAGTTACGCACAAAACACATAACCTTTCATGACTTTTTATAACTTTTTATTTAGCACGCTGCAATTTGTGTGTATTTTTAACAAGTTTGGATTGGATAAAAATACCTTTTGAAAAGCAAAGGAATATATCCTGTGATTCTGTACTTTTCTTTCTTTGCTAGTCAATGGGTGCCGAGGCAACCCCAGGAAAGTGGCCCCCTGCTCACCAAAAAACACCCAAGCACCATGGGAAAGTGGCCGCTGCTAGCCAATAGGCACCCCCCTGACATCCCTAGAGACTGGCCTCGGCTGGGCAATAGATGCATGATTTACCTGAATACTAGTTAGATTATAGATTTTGCCTATAAACTGTTTAACTTCCCGTCCACCCTCAGATTGCTTTGAAAAGTGCAGCATTTTGATAGGAAGCACCTCTACTGACTGTCACTAGAGCTGCTCCTAGACGGCAATGTAAGCACTGCCTTTTCTCTGAAACAGCTATGCATACATTAAAAAGCATGCAGGGACAGGCTATAGACACCAGAACAATTACATTCAGCTGTAGTGGTTCTGGTGACTACAGAGTCCTTTAAAGTAATTTTTCAGAACATTTTCAGCAATTTGAGCTACAGTAGTTCTTCTGTGTGATCAGACCAGACAGGCTAGACTTTGATCCCCACGTGACCCTGATGCCATATCACCGGTTTTCCTTCCTTGCACCAATTTTGGTAGGTACTAACCACTGCATACCAGGAGCACCCCACAAGACTTTTGGAGATGCTCTGACCCAGTCGTCTGGCCATCACTATCTGGCTCTTGCTGCCTAATAATATATCGACCCCTTGGCAAGTGCCATTGTAACAATATATTCAATGTTATTCACTTCACCTGTCAGTGGTTTTAATGTTGTGGCTGAGTGTATACACTGAGTGGCTCACTGTATACAGCACTATTTCTTTGTGTATGTGACAGTTATGTTCCCTGTTGTCTTTTCATGCTCAGCAGATATACAGTATTTGAAATAGTCACTGTGTGTTGAGATAAGTATAGCAGAACTGACCTTTATTCTTATAATCTTGTTTTCTTCTCCTGTGAGCAAGAGTGTATGAGTTTTTCTTCCAAGCAAGATCATCTTCTTTAGAAGCATGCAGTCCACAGGATAATATGACTTTTACCCCAACTTCTGCTATTTGAAAGGATCCCGCAGTTTCCAGTAATAGATCTAAAACAGAAAAGAAATTTAAACTAAAATAATCATCTCCTCCAAATGAAACAATCATTTCTGAAGAGACTACAATGAGTGTCATATCCAGTCATGTCCAAAGTCCGGCCTGCGGGTCAGTTGCGGCCCCATTCCGGTTTAACGCGGCCTAACAGGTAATTTGTTAAATCTATACGTTGTGGCTCCCAGTGAATCCCCCAGCACTGCTGAGGACGGGCAGTCCCACAGCGTTCAAAGATCCAGAGATTCTCTTGATCATTGAACACCGCAGGACTGCACGTCCTCAGTCTGCGTTCTCACGATCTCTTGGACGTCGCGGGATCTCTTGGACGTCATGGGATTTGGCGCGTTCCTTCTCCCTGCTGGGACAGAAATAGATCTGGGATAGAGAGAGAAGAGAAAGAATAAAGAGAGAAGGGACAGAATAAAGAGAGAAGGAATAAAGAGAGAAGGAATAAAGAGAGAAGAGACAGAATAAAGAGAGAAGGAATAAAGAGAGAAGAGACAGAATAAAGAGAGAATGGACAGAATAAGGATAGAAGGGACAGACTAAAGAGAGAAGGAATAAAGAGAGCAGAGACATAACAAGGAGAGAAGAGAGAGAAGGGACAGAATAAAGAGAGAATGGACAGAATAAAGAGAGAATGGACAGAATAAAGAGAGAAGATTCAATAAAGAGAGAAGGGACAGAATAAAGAGAGAAGAGAAAGAATAAGGAGAGAAGAGACAGAATAAAGAGAGAAGAGACAGAATCAAGAGAGAAGCGAGAGAATAAAGAGAGAAGAGACAGAATAAAGAGAGAAGCGACAGAATAAAGAGAGAAGAGAAAGAATAAGGAGAGAAGAGACAGAATAAAGAGAGAAGCAACAGAATAAAGAGAGTAGAGACATAATAAGGAGAGAAGGGACAGAATAAAGAGAGAAGAGAAAGAATAAAGAGATCTGTATGGTGTCAAAATAAAGAGATCTGAGACAGAATAAAGAGATCTGTGTGGTGACAGAATATAAAGAGATCTGAGACAGAATAAAGAGATCTGTATGGTGACTCAACTATGTAAAGGGCTGCCCTCACTTCAGACGGCTGCTTTAGATTTTGGTTCCCATATTTTGGCAGGCTATAGCAAACTCTTTCAGGCCCCCATATCTTAATCTGGTAACACACACTACGTAGTGTGAACCCTCCTTCATAAGGCCACAAAGGCCTGGCCAATCCCCTTAAAATGTAAATGTATTGAATTTACAACCGCAATGAGGTTGCAAAAAATAAACTTGGTTAGGAGTTATTTGTTTTTGTATTGTTTGATAATTTCATACCACCCAGCTGTCCTGGGTCCTATAAAACTGTCACAAATTTGTGGTAATCCCTGGTGTCCTGCACCTGCGGAAACCAACATTCCTCCCATGTGCCCCTATCTAGAATGGACAGTACCAATTTTGAGCTCAAATCCCTCAGTCCCTCTTTTCTAGGAGCTCCATATTGCTAGTGTGTCTGAGTGTATAACAGAGCTCCACAGCTCCACAGCAATAACACTGACAGTAATGTGTCTTTACAATAAATATGTTTAGAAACGAGTCTGTAAATTAGATATATTGTTCTTGTTGTAAATGTCATTTTAGTGACATAACTAATTAATAAGTCACCTAAAACGTCTCATAACACCCCTTGTAACACCCCTAAAAATTAAATTGTCCATATTCTTCTACTTGAAATGTTGAGGGGTATGCATCAGGTAAATGTCCCAAATCAGTGCAGTGTGAGCTTGCCATGGAAGATGCTCAAACCTTTTTTTAGGTCAGGTGCGCCCCTTTTTGGTTCAATGCATTTTATTTTTGGTTACATCACTATCTTGCCCCCACAATCCCCAGTACTGATTTCATATCCACTAGTATTGGAAGATATGCCAGCCACAATATTTACTGACCATCCATTTGAAGTAATAAGCCAGTAATCTCACTATGCAAATATTGTACGTACACAGTAGGTATATTAGACTTGTGACGAATGTGTACAATGTTCTCTTCATTTTGCTGTTTTTAGTTTTCACAGCTTTCTGTTTTTGAACAGTTTTCCAGTTTTCTTTGCTTCATGCACTTAGTATCTGTGAATGAGAAGCGGTTATAAAAAGTTTAGCATTGTATAACCAGAAATACTCTTTTAACATATATATATATATATTCAGAACAAGATATAGGTGGCGCTCAGGAAAAAAGTTCGGTGCTGCTAATTCACCCAAGTATATTGTCACTGTATATACTTAAAAGTAGGAAACACAGTGAAACCAAAGAAGGTGGTAAGCGCACACAATAAGAAGAATAAATTGCCTGATATACAAAATTTCTGTTACTTTAAAGTAGCATATAAAATGTCCTATACAGAAATAAAGATAAAACACAACATAGTGTAATCTGTATAAATAATTTGCGAGTAAGGTACTCACTAATTGTTTATACAGATTACACTATGTTGTGTTTTATCCTTATCTCTGTATAGGACATTAGATAGGATACTTTAACGTAAGAGGAATTTTGTATATAAGGTAATCTATTCTTCTTATTGTGTGTGCTTACCACCTTCCTTGGTTTCAATATAGCAAGTTATTCACTGCATCAGGAAGATATACTGTTCCCAAGAATACGACCATGTGATGCCTGAACTTACTATTGACCTTAAAATTTAATACCTTTTGGTATATCCAATTGTTACATGCTATTTTCATTTACTTTCTACATATCTTATGTCACAGATGTATGTCGAAGTATGTGAAAACCAAATAAAGTACAAATTGAAAAAAAAAAGGATGACATTAAGGTAAGTTTAGATCTGGGGTGGACAGTTCAGAGCCGGCTAATGTCAATTCTGTGCTTATTTCTTGCATACAGTTTCATTCATTGCCTGAGAGTGCTCAGAGTGGATGGATCGGCATCAAGTTTCTGCAGAGTTGCCAGTCAACTAACATAAGGTTAGGCTTAGTGCCCAACAAAATCATTATAAAGCTTGAAATAACCTTTTAAACATCTCTAGTATAGATTGTTTAGCAGTTTACCCAAACATCAGTCTAAATTTGATCAGCACAACACACACTTATTTATACAGAGTAAAATGTGTATTGACCTTCCAGGGCTGATAAGAGTTGTTTCTCCACTAAATTTTTGACACTGCACCTGCTGGTCTCACTCCTATCGGAGACAGGTATTGGACCCGACGGACACACCTCGTTGAGGCAGGTTGACATTGAAATGCTGCCGGACTCCTACTTACCATCCTGCAGCGGTGCCCGCCGGTCTCACTCCTGTCCGAGCACGGTGCAATGTGTCCCCCTCTCAATGGCAGTGGTTGGGTCTGGAATTATTAGAGAACCACTGCAAGTCAGAGCCTTTAAAGGCTCTCTAATTCCTTGTGTCTCAGATTCTCAGGAATAGGCGTTCTTAGGGTATTTAAAGTTTTTTTGAAAATGTTTCAGTGCCTTGTCGTTGTGTCTACTTTTGTTATCTGAGAGCACATTTATTCTATTGATTCCTGTGTATTTTGACCTTAGTTTATATGACTATCCTGACTTCCATATCCCTTGACCTTTGCGTTGTTTAACCATTTACATGCCCTCTGTTTCCTTGACCTTGACCTGTCCTATACTATTCTTTATTAACGTTAAATCTGGTCAATCTAAGGTCCAGTAATACGTTTTAGTTTTTCTTTGTTTATTTTCTTTGTTACTTAAGTTCTAAGTGTTGGGCATTAAGATTATCCTGACAATTCTCTCCAGACAGGGGTCTGGGAAACAGAGCCATAAAACCCCCTTTCCCAACACAGAACCCCACAACCAATACATCCCCGAATAGCTCACCCTCTCAGTTACCCACTGTCCAAGGAGCTCCCTGATTCCACATACATACAGTGTCCAATCGCCACCTGGATTAAGGTTTGACTGGTCATAACTAAGTTCAGGAACCGATGTATAGCTCCATAAGGCCAGCTTGACCAGGATGATAACGCAACCCGGTGACTGGCATCCTGGGCATTCGAGTAGACTGCATTTGAAGACCCCAGGTTTGGTGACAATTGTCCTCATGTGAACTTTGTAGAGCTTTCTGTGACAGAGCCCATAGTCTGTAGGGAGGAGGCTGGCATCCAAGCCCTTCACAAGTCAGAGAAATGGAGACTTCTGTTACAGCCATTATTTGGTCCAAAGTGGATACCATTATCTGGTGTCGCACATGTAAGTAATGGTGTGTGAGCGCTAGTTATTATGTAATATTATGTTTGTGATAGTGGTTTGTTATGATGTCGCCATTATTGTCCTTTAATACACTTTTCACTGTTATATATCCTTTATATAACATACAGTATATATATGCAGAAAATATATTCTACACATACTGTTTGGCAATTCAGTTAACAAAAAGAAAAAGTCATCCACATTTTGAGAGGCACAGTATATCGAGCCTTTCTTTCTGATTTTGACAGATTTAGTTGGTGGGAAATAAGGTCTGAAGTGGTTTTGTGGGTTTTGCCTCCTCCAGTTTCCTCCCTTATATCCTCCATTCCTCTATACAGTGAGCTGAGAGTAACATCCTGTTATTGTGGTGGAAAGCCACAAAGAGAAATAAACATAGGAGGATGTGTGAGGGGAGAGAGACATATGAGGCTGTGTGAGGAGAGAGAGAGAGAGAGAGAGAGACATGGGAGGCTGTGTGAGGAGAGAGAGACAGAGACATGGCAGGCTGTGTGAGGAGAGAGAGACATGGGAGGCTGTGTGAGGAGAGAGAGAGACATAGGAGGCTGTGTGAGGAGAGAGAGAGAGAGAGAGACATGGGAGGCTGTGTGAGGAGAGAGAGACATGGGAGGCTGTGTGAGGAGAGAGAGAGAGACATAAGAGGCTGTTTGAGGAGAGGGAGAGACATGGGAAACTGTGAGGAGAGAGAGAGACATGGGAGGAAGTGTGAGGAGAGATAGACATAGGAGGCAGTGTGAGGAGAGAGAGACATGGGAGGCTATGTGAGGAGAGAGAGAGACATGGGTGGCTGTGTGAGGAGAGAGAGAGAGAGATAGGAGGCTGTGTGAGGAGAGAGACATAGGAAGCTATGTGAGGGGAGAGAGACATAGGAAGCTGTGTGAGGAGAAAGACATGGGAGGCTGTGTGAGGAGAGAGACATATGAGGCTGAGGAGAGACGGACATATGAGGCTGTGTGAGGAGAGAGAGACATAGGAGGCTGTGGGAAGAGAGAGAGAGAGACATATGAGGCTGTGTGAGGAGAGCGACATAGGAGGCTGTGTGAGGAGAGCGACACAGGAGGCTGTGTGAGGAGAACAACATAGGAGACTGTGTGAGGAGTGAGACATAGGAGACTGTGTGAGGAGAGAGACATAGGAGGCTGTGTGAGGAGAGCGACATAGGAGACTGTGTGAGGAGAGTGACACAGGAGGCTTTGTGAGGAGAGCGACATAGGAGGCTGTGTGAGGAGAGCGACACAGGAGGCTGTGTGAGGAGAACAACATAGGAGACTGTGTGAGGAGTGAGACATAGGAGGCTGTGTGAGGAGAGCGACATAGGTGGCTGTGTGAAAAGAGAGACATCGGAGGCTGTGTGAGGAGTGCGACATAGGAGGCTGTGTGAGGAGAGAGACATAGGAGGCTGTGTGTGGAGAGAGACATGTGAAGGGTGTGCCTTGAGTTCAGCAGCATTTTCTGAAATAAATATTGTTGGTAAAAATTGCATAGTTTAGGTAGAAAATAGCCAACACCTTTTAGAAAGGAGAGTGAGAGTGTCTGTACAGTGAGAGAAAAGGATAGTGAGAGTGTCTGTACAGTGAGAGAGGAGAGTGAGAGTGTCTGTACAGTGAGAGAGAAGGAGAGTGAGAGAGGAGAGGGAGAGTGTCTGTACAGTGAGAGAGAAGGATAGTGAGAGTGTCTGTACAGTGAGAGAGGAGAGTGAGAGTGTCTGTACAGTGAGAGAGAAGGAGAGTGAGAGAGAAGAGTGAGAGTGTCTGTACAGTGAGAGAGGAGAGTGAGAGTGTCTGTACAGTGAGAGAAAGGGAGTGAGAGTGTCTACAGTGAGAGTGAAGGAGAGCGGGAGTGTCTGTACAATGAGAGAGAAGGAGAGTGAGAGTGTCTGTACAGTGAGAGAGAGGGAGTGAGAATGTCTGTACAGTGAGAGAGAGGGAGTGAAAGTGTCTACAGTGAGAGTGAAGGAGAGCGGGTGTGTCTGTACAGTGAGAGAGAAGGAGAGTTAGAGTGTTTGTACAGTGAGAGTGAAGGAGAGTGACAGTGTCTGTACAGTAAAAAATGGGACTGAGAATTTCTACAGTGAGAGCGGGGAGAGAGATGTTGGGGAGAGCGTCATGCTGTGTAACAGAGATTTATATATCTAAGAATTATAAATAGACATACAGGTACTTGTGGGATGAGCTGTAACAACAAATAAGGGGGATGTGGTAGGTTATGGTGGGTTTGAGATTCGGAAGTGAGTGGTAAATCTGAGCAGAACACTGAAGAGTTGGGAAACAGCATTTACAGCCCCCTCTGAGAGACCACAAAGCACAATGGCAGAAACTGTTATATCCCCCTTACCCACCCGCAGACATGTATGTTTCAGATGATAACAATGTACCTGGAAGGAGCCGCAGGCATTTATAGAAACACTAACAAAATTGTAATATGTGGTATTCTTACTGAGTGGACTATCTGATACAGCATAATACCCGAAATAAGCATTATCTGAATATTGTACTGCTCTAAACTAATGTCAGTGGGGCTAGTAACATGTTTATATTATCGCAAAATGTTTACAATTATTTTCTTTTATTTTTTTTATTTAATGTTTTTTTTGATCATTTGAAATTCACTTTTAATTCCTAAAAAATGTTTATAATTTAATATATAGCCCTGTAAATGCAACCAGCTCAATCTTATCACGTCTGTTTCGTCTCCATATCTGCATAACTCTGCTGTGAACAGCATGGCTAAAAGGTAGATCCCAGAGACTCTAATTTAGAACCTATTGACAGGGGCGGCTCTAGACTTTGCGA